GGGGGGGGATAAGCGAATGAGAAGGACGCTGAGAAGGGGTGGAGGAACCACACAGTGAGAGTGGGTTTGAGGAACGCACAAGAGCGAGGGATTGAAGGGGTACGCACAGAAAGAGGCCCCAGAGAGAGACAGAGTCAGCAAGTAGTAATTCTAGCTTCAGTTTGTCTGAGAGTGCGACTTCCCTCAACTTTCTGCGGTGGTGGAGTGCAATAAGATGAGGGAGCTCTGTGTGCACGCCTCCCCCTCTTCTTCTGCATCTCCCGGATGTCCTGCAGGCCAGTCCTCCATACGATCAAGTCACTCTGCGAACCCCGGCCCTTCATGCATGGTGTCAGGGTCCTCCACTATGGACATGGATCCATTGGGGCCTGATTACGTGTCTGTGTGTCTGTTGGCAGATGAGTCCTACCAGAAGTTGGCTATGGAGACCATGGACGAGCTGGACTGGTGTCTGGACCAATTGGAGACCATCCAGACCTACCGCTCTGTCAGTGACATGGCCTCCAACAAGGTAGGCAATTTATTCTATAGATTTTTATTTGCATTTGTGCAAATGGTGCATTTATGAAGTTGATACAATGTTTTTGCAAGCTTATATCAAAGCCCTTGATTTTATCCAGTTTAAAAGCCTAACCTTGAACTTTGTCCTTCTTGATTTGCAAAATACATTTCTCACCTTCAAACAGAACATTTACCTTCCAATTGATAATGAGATTGAACTTGTGATCTTGACTTGACAGGCCTATGATAATTTTATTGGCTTGTTCACAGATGTACAATTTGCCTTTGCTGCTGTGTGGCTGTCCATTTGTACAAGGTGTGCAAAATGTAAATTTCTTTTTGCCACACTGACGCACTTGCAAAGTAACAGCTCTTCTGTTGTGTATGAGCTGGCATCATCATTTTATGGCTCTTATAAAAATAAAAAGTAGAAACTGTGTTGCATGTGTGACTACTGAGTTCCTCTTATCTTTGAATAGCACAATTGCCTATATTCTATAGAAATGCATGTGAGATTAATGGACTGTGAGACACATGGCATGTTATATAGTCAGGCTGGGCTGTAGGAGTACTTTACAGTGTGATATAAACTGCCTACAGATGCATTTGTCATTCATTTTAGTGTGATGTGGATATTGGCTCTGTTGCAATGTTGAGCTCGGTGGGACATTGGTCCACTAAAGGTCACATTTAACTGACAGATATCCGTTTGTTCAGACTATAGTTTAGATTAACAGATACAATTAAAATTCATTAGAGGAAGGTTTTTTTTCATGTCTTATTCACAAGAACTAAAGACCTTGTTGAAGTTTATGTTTCCAAGTTTGCCAATTGAATGCACTCAGTTTACTCTCCTTTATATTACTACTCCCCCCACTAGCAATCTGTGGAGCAAGGAAGGTCACAATTACTTTATGTATGCTGTATAAAAAAGCAGTGGTACAAAAATAGCTTTTTGTTTTAGCACCTTGCTAGCAAATGCGCAAACACGTAAAATATTGCATTTGTGATAATACAATATACAGTATAACAAATTAACAGTATGCAATTTTGTAGTCTGATCAGTTAAAAACACTAAGTGTTCCCATATTAATTTCATCTACCTGTTAGGAAACTAGAAATGGTGACACAAATGTTAGAAAGCTAAACTATTAACATGCATCTGTGTGCTGTTTCAACAGATAAATTCGACAATATGCTTTCTTTCACTAGCTGGTATATGTTAATGAACTCCATCACCTGTATTGCTATACATTCTAGGTATTAATAAAATGTCAGTGACTTAGTCAAAATGTATTTTACATGAAAGATTTTCTCTAAAACTAAAGATTTTAAAAAGTGGAGCATAAATCCTCTTGTACATTTTTCGTAAAGTTAAGTACTTTACTAGTTTTATTTTTAATAAGACTAAGGTGTTGTTCAAAATCACTTCCTACTCAGTGTGTAAATATATACACTATATAGTGTGCTCAAAAATTCCAAGATGTAACAAAAAGTAGTGTACATGCTATATATACCAATTTCTGTTAGTAGTCCCACAATGTGACACTGTTTTATCAGAGGGAAAACGATCTATAGCTGTTAATGATGACTCACGGGCGGCTGTGACTCAGGAGCTAGAGCAGGAACTGGAGGATTAGTGGTTTGATTCCCGGATTGTCCAGTCAATGTGTCGAAGTGTCCTTGAGCAAGACACTGAACCCGCCAGTTGCTCTTGATGATGACACTTGTGTGTGAATGTGTGAGCGTTTGGGAGTGTGAAAGCATTTTGAGTGTGCTGAAAAGCGCTATACAAGTATAAGAGCATTTACACAAAATGACAATGATTAGTAAGTATCTAAAATCTCAATTTACTGTTGAGTGTACAATGAGTGAATAGGAAGTGATTTTGGACACAACCTAAGAGTAGAGCCATACTAACAGCGCAGTGAAGCTGTACTTGGTATTGACCGTGACATTGTTTAGTAGTTCTAATAGCAGGCATCCATAGTTTTTATATTCTCAAGTAATTTAATTAACTTTATTTAACATTTAACTTGAAATTTTATACAGAAGACCACATCACATAGGGTTTTTGTTGTTCAGTAGACCAGTAGACCTCGCCATCGCTAGAGAATCCTGCTACCAATGCTAAAAAGATGGAGAGTTCACCTTTCAGTCAGCTTTTCTGATTTGTTTTAAACAAAAAATAAATAAATAAACACTGCACTTCAAGGCCACACAGGTAGCTATATGGAACGAATTACTTGCCCCTTGCTTTGATGCACATAAATATCTCGGGGTGCATATTTCATTTGTGCACAGCTCAATCAAATTACTATACACTGCACAATATTACTCAGCTCCCACACAGACAGTTGAGACTATACAGTGGCGTCAGATTATAAACACCCGGGGTGGTGGTGACCATTTCCCTCTGCCTTCAGTATTGTGGTCTGAGGGTGGATTGTAATTGGTGGGGGTGTTGTCATACCGCCACGGGTGAATGTGACCGTGGCACAAGTTTCCTGTCTCTTTGTTTCCTGTGCCCCCCGCTGCTCCCTCTCTTCTGCACCTTGGTTACCAGACGACAATAGCAGCATTTTGGCCAGGTTGGGTCTTTACAGATAACCACGTCACTGGGACTGTCAAGACAATGGGCACACGGCCCCGCAGGCACGCTGCACACCAGCCACATGGTCGAGCTAGACGGGCACATTGTTCACTGTGAGTCATAACCCCCCCCCAATGTCCTAGTGCCACTCTTAAGCACTGTTGACCAATGCAGCTTTTGAAAGAGGTCAACAGTTTATCATTTGTCAGTGGGTTGTGCAATTGTACAAAGATGGAAAATAAATCATTTATTGGTCCATTCACACTTATATTGCAAAACTGGTGTTCATTATGTTTATATTATTGCACCACTAATGCAGCATCTGCAGGATTTTGCACCCTCCCAGCATTTATTTGACGAGCTGCTTGACAAAGATCCTGTTTCTTTTCTAAACCAGAGAGGATGTAATTGAACCCACATTCAAACCCAGGGTGTCTCCGTTTTTTACTGCCAAGGGCACAGGTGTATCCGGAGCTATGAGACCACACACCCTGTTGACCACCAGTCTGGTCGCTGTGACCTCAGAGCAGGGAGCTGCTTCCCTGCTTCTCGCTATCATTAGCCTCACCACACTTCCATGCCGATGCTGGTGATGGCCTTGGACAAACACTGCCATCTGAATCCATTTAGAGGCATTTAGCACTTTGCGGGATAGTGTGCAAGTGAGCCCCCGAGCAGAGCACGAGCAAGTAGGAAACTTTAACTCACGTGTGGTCACTTCAACTTTTGAAGCACCGCCATCTTCAGAGAGGAAAAAATGACAGAATTTCTGAAGCAGATGTAGTGGTGGGTCTGTAGCTGTAGCAGTGGTAATGGACATGAAATTATAATGTTGTGACTCCTTTTGACTGAAAGGGTGGTGAGGAGATCAGAGGGGCTGCAGCAGTGATTATGGGGTCTAATCGTAAATAACGTTTTAGCTCTGTAATCTGCTGTTTTGGAAAAAAAGGCAGAATAACGAAGGTAAATATAAAACCAGTTTGTATTCTATGTTCTTATCTGCTTTTGCTCAACACTTTCTAGGAAATGGGTCTTTCTAATATTACTATACTCTGAAAACATGCTGGACATAATTCAATGTGTGTTGACACTATGAACAACCTTACATGAGATAGAGGCAGCATTAGCTCACTCTGGGCTTTTGTAAGATTGCACAGCCGTGGTATTTCAGCATGATGTCAAGCTGTTCCTCTGCAATGTTTCAGTCAAGGTCAGTGTTCACTCTGAACTGAGCAAACTTTTAAAGACTTCGCCTAAACGAATGCCATTTGTAATTTTTTTTTCACCCCAATACATCACTGTGACAGTGTGCCAAACTTTTTACCTGGGATTTTTCAGTGATGAGCTCAGGTATGATAATTGCTGCTGCTTGAGGCCAAACTAGGAAGCAGGATGTCTACCAGTAAATGACTTCAGTGAATTGCTCTGTCAAGTAAAGGGGAAGTAGGTGGAGGCACATGCTCAAGCCTGTGTTAGAGGGAGGAGCCAGTCATTTCTTAAACATAAACTGTGTAGGCCAGTCGGTCAAGTCAGCTTTATCGCTATAGGTTTCCTGCCTGACGCCACTTCAGAAAAGAGAATAGGGAGAGGAAGCAGGCGCAGTGTCAGACACACTGAACAGAGTTATTAGAGATTCCTTTTGTGTGGTGTTAGGGTTCTGTGAAGTGACAATGGGACTATGTTGTTCTGAGAAGCCTAAGAGAAAAGTTGGGATGCTTACGAGCTGGAAAAAGGTGAGTCAATTTGGAGCTGCTAACGTGCTGTGAGAATGCGGTCTGCCACATTGTGATTTATCCAAGGAGAGACTAATTGATATGATCTAAGGTTGTTTAATTTACTTAAAAATACATTATTATATATTGAATTCACTTTCTTTTTACTTCTTGTTTTAAATCGACAGTTTTAAGGTTCAGATGTGTAGAACAAATTTTGCAGTGTGGTGGCCTGAAAAACGTTGTTTTTTTTTAAGTTTATAGTTGTTAATACTGTTTTTTCTTGCACCCTAACATATCATTTATATGTACATTTTGTTTCAGTATGCACCTACTTTGAATATTCAAACTTCGAGTCATCTTCTCAAAACTAACCAAGTTTTTTGGCAGAGTTCATGTAACTTCTCTTATTAAGTTCTGAATGTGAGCACTCTCTAACATAGAAGGATGTATGCATTAATGATATTAAATAATCTCCTCCTGAGAACTACATGACCCATGACTGACATGTGGTTTTGTGCCTAACTCATTTCCTAGAAGTCACACAAATCCACATGGTTCTCCTACTTTAAAGAATTGATTACAAGTTCCCTTTGAATGGAATAAAACCGTCTGATTCCAAACTGAAATTTTTGTTCCTGCGAGCTTTAATTTATGGACTGCATCTGGCAGTCTGGGTTTGAGCACAGCCAAAACTTTGAAAGTGCTGTTCAAGTTTCACAGTCAGGTAGATGTTAGCTGTCTGCTTGACAACTATTAGACAGCTGTGGAGACCACAGAGAGTCTGGTCCAGTATGAAAAGGCAAAAACCTCATTGTAAGAAATAATAAAACCCCTGGCAAAAGGCATAATCATGATTGAACACACTAAAAATAATAATCACATTTTCGGGAAATAGAATTGATTGCCTCTGTAATGCACTGTATTCATCATAAAGATTAGGATGTGGTTTTGCGTTAGTGTTTCTCTTTACTGACAAGGAAGTGTCTGCTGTCTGTCACAGACATGGTGTCTTTCCTTGTGGGTTTTGCACCTTCCAGCTTGTTTATGTCTATTTTGAGCATCTCAGCTAAAGCTGAGGATTAAACGTGTTTGGTTGCACATCCCTGTGTGTGTATGTGCATGATGTGATGCGATGCATTTAGAAAGGGGACCACCATGAGAATGACAGAGGGGGCCACGTGACTCTGTTACCATGACATTCAGGTTGTCGTGCAATTGGTGGTACACTGGTGGACTGCAGACTGAAAACTCTCGTGTGTGTGTGTGTGTGTGTGTGTGTGTCTGCCATCATTTCTGTTTGAGTCTTAAGTATAGAAAACTGCTGCAGTGAAACAGGAAGCAGTATTGTTGACAACAGCTGATAATACTGCAGCAAAACAGTATACATGATGATTATGGATTGCACTGTGCACAGCAGTTTAAGTCTCCACTCCTGCTACTTACAAAAGACTCAGACCCAGACTGGCTGAATTAATACCCAGTGTTTCCTCACCCATGTGATGAATGCTCTGGTGCTTTAAAGCTTCACATTGCGCAGTGTGCATTGGATCTGGTCTGCATTACTGAGTAGGGGAGGGGGACAGGAATGGGGGGGGTGAAAGTCTGGTAGGGGGTTTGCAGAGAACAGACGTGAGAGAGAAAGAGAGAACTAGCTTGTAAGGGAGGGAAGGATGTTGGGGGATTCTCCAAACTCTGTTTTTCTGCAGTCCTGGCTGTGCATGGCTCAGTGATTAACGGGGGTGGGAGGCTGAGAGAGAGGAAGAGAGAGAGAGGGACTCCAGCAGCCTGTCTGCCACAGGGGACTCTACAGCGAGAGCACCCCTTCTCCTCCTCCTCTTTGCGTTTCTCCATTTTTCTTTCCCTTTCTTCCTGTGTTTTCGAGCCTGCCCTTCCTCCCTGTCTTGCTTAATCTGGGTTTGGGAATGCTGGACTTCCCCTCTGTGTGTCACTGGATAACATTTGGCGTCAGGAGGAGATGCAGGTTTCGAGAGACGGACAGCAGCAGTGAGACTGAGAGAAAAGGACAAGAAATATTGATCAACGGGGATTCCATTGCTCTCAACAGCAGCTTGCAATCCTGGAAGACAGTTGGCGACACTATGTAGAGGTGCACTTGGCCAGGGATGTAAGGGTCTGCCACAGCCCCTCTCTAGAGTTCAGTTGGAGCTTCTTTTTTTTTACCATAGTCAGCCATCCAAATGCTGCAATTTTGTTGCGCCTTGGGTTTGAGGCTGTAGGTTGAGCTCAGCCTTGGGGGTCCACTCAGAGAGGAGCAAATAGAGCTTCTGCTGGGGAGCGCCAGGGGCTCAGCACAGCTCAGCACCATGCCGGAGGCCAACTACCTGTTCTCTGTATCCTGGGGATACATCAAGGTCTGTCCCAGAAGAGAACTGGCATACACGGGACTGTGTGGTGTGTGTGTGTATGTGTGTATGTGCATGTGCGTGTCCATGTCCATGTTTGTTCATGTCTTTTCACTGCAGCTGATGAAAAGTCTCAGATTACCTGCATCGATTTTTGTTATGTTTCAATTGCACACTTGGATTCGAATGGTTACATGTCACTGACTGTCATCATGGTTCAGCTCGGTTGACTGCATGTGCTGAGAAAAATCTGCCGCATTGTGTTTCCCTGGAAAATGCAGGGAAACATGACTACACTGTATTTTATATATGGTGCATTGCTGAATTTTTTTGTTTGTTTGTTGAAATGATAAATTTCCATGCCTAATCCAAGCCAGGACCAAGAAGGCATAAACACAGACCTTATATGGTGCAAAATATAACAAGCCATGTTCTCATGGGACATGTTCCAATAGGAAATAACAGGAGATGCTTTATTCATCTGCTCAGAAACATCAACACAATGATGATCATTAATGCATGATCATTTAATCTTGT